GCGTTACTGCCCATCTCTGGTCATAACATACTTAAACTCAAACACTTAAGCTCAGTTATCAGGGTTAGATTGTCCTGGATACGACCATTTACAAAACCTCTAACTATTTAGTTACAAATTAAATGTAACACAATAACTGTGATGATAATGAAGTCCTGGTCCATCCTTAATGTTTTGTGACTCTTATTTATTTTGTTCGCCTTTGCAGTGATTTTGCATCTTTTAATGCTCGTCTTATCTCATATATTTTATTTCTCTTCTTGTTTCATGTCCTCTGCAGTATTTTTGCTTCTCTTCTTTGTAGCATTTTGCCTCTGTTCTGGTTGCTGGTGTGTCTGTGTAGTGATTTACGGTTTTTGTTTCCTATTCAGGGGTTTTTTTCTGTGTGGAGATGATTTTTGTGTGTGTGAAATCTGTCGTGTTCGTTTTGTGTGTCATTGTAGCTGCTTTGCATCTTTTCATGCTAATTTTGTGTCTCTTTATAGTAATTTTACAATGTTTCTTTTATTTTCATTGTATAAATCTTTGTGTTTTTTATAATGTTCGATTTTTATCTTGGTGTTGGATAAGCAGAAGAGAATAGTCAGATGTGTCTTGTCTTTTTAATTTAGTATCTCTTTATATTTGTTATTTGTTTGTTGAATGTTTGCATCTGTTAAAAGTTATTTAGCATCTCTTTAGTGATTTTTTCAGTTGTTTTTCTTCTTTCGGAGTACTTTTTTATTGCTTTGCATATGGGTTTTTTTGCATTTTTGATTGCTTTGCTTCGCTTTGTGGTGACTCGATGCGTCTTTGGGGAGATTTTTCACAAATTTTAACTGTTGCATTTCTTTTGCAGTCGGTTTGATTTTCTTTGTAGTTTTGTGTCTGTTATTTTGTTTTGCTTTTAACTTTCAGTTTTGGGTCTCTTTGCAGCGATTTTGTGCCTTTTTCATATCTTCTTTAGTCATTTTTGCTTTTTCTTGTAGATGTTTTTCATGTCTTCCGGCTTTTTTTCTGTATCTTTATTGCTAATTTGGCATCTTTTCAGTAATTTCAACATCTTCTCTTCATCTCTGTGGTCAGTTTATTTTTTGTAGTCACTCGACTGACTTTAAATGAAGAAACATTAACTTCAAACATCAAACAAGCTCTGACCTGCTGCTCCCTGCCCCTGCTGTCTGTTTGCTAATCCATCCATATCTGTATGTGTTTGTCTGTTTATATGTGGCTGTAGAAATGAAAGCAGATCAGCCCAGTTTTGGTTCACAGGAGTGACGTACCTACTGTTACTGTTAGCACTCAGGATGCTAACCTGCATTTACAGGCCTGGCAACACACACACACACACAAACACATACACACTCACACACACACACAGGCTTGTATGTGCTTTAAAGCTGATCAGTTTGTTTCTGCATTCATTCATTCATTCAGTCCTCCACCTTCATCCATCTGCAGTCTGTCCATCCTCCCCTCTTCCCTCTCTCTCTCCCTATCAAGAAAACACAGCATGCTACAGCTGCTGCTGCTGTCATCCACACACATTCCTCCACCCATCAATCATCCAGCCATCCATCTGTCCGCGCAGTCGTCCGTCTGTCCTCTCATCTTGGAAATTAAAGAGAGCACTCACCATGATTTCCTCAGACGCAGCCGATCACTGCTGTCTGTTCTCCAGCCTGAAGCCATCGCGTCACGAGAGCGTCTTGTTTGCTGCCTGTCCTCTTAGTGTGTGTGTGTGTGTGGGAGGGGGAGGATATCATCGTCACGGCAACACCAGCAGCTTGCAGCAGCAGCACCACCACCACACGGAGGAGGGAGGGGATGAAGAGGAGGGGAAGAGGAGGAACGCACCAAACAGTCATCTTTGCAGCATCCACCAATCAGGAGCGAGATGGAGAGTACAGGGCAGAGGTGATTGGCTGTTCTGTTAGTCAGTTATTCAGTGGCGGTGAGGGAGGCTCTCTCTCTCTCTCTCTCTTTATCTCTGTGTCTCTCTCCCTCTGATCAATCTTTAATCCACTCAAAATTGTTTTAGAAAAATACGTTTAACAGAATTGTGTTTTTAATCAAATATTAAATTAAAGAGAAGTCAAGTTTTGCTGGTTTTATTTATTCATCATATATTCTAATTATTATGTTTTTTTATGTGTTTATTTCTGTCTGGTTCATGATATAAGTTTCTGCCTTAATGCAAATATCTAATGAGTCAATCACACAGCAGCAACGCAATGATTTAGCTACGAAGACATAGTCAAGATGTCCTGCTGAAGTTCAATCTAAACATCGAAACGAGGAAAAAATGTGATTAAAGTGACTTTGAGCATGGTTGTTGTTGCCAGACAGACTGGTCTGAGTATTTCAGAAATGGCTGATCTGGGATTTTCCTCCACACTCATCAATAGGGTTTGAAAAAGAGAAAAATATCCAGGTCAGAGGAGAATGGTCAGACTGCTTCAATCTGATAGGAAGGCAGCAGAAGGCCACACTCGGTGGAAACTGAGGCTAAATTCACAAAACTCAATCTCTGCTGTGACGGTAGGGCAGAATATGAAAGCATGGTTCTATCTTGTCTGATATCAATGGTTCAGGCTGCTGCAGGTGGTGCAAGTATGGTGTTAATACAACCTGAACCTCATTTAAACACCACAGGCCTGTGCTGACCTGAGTATTGTTGCTGACCCTGTCCATCCCTTTATGACTACAGTGTACCCCTTTTCTGATGGCTGTTTCCAGCAGGATAACGCACCATGTCACCATTTAACCAGTTAAATATTTTTGATCTACCATGTATTATATCAATAAATAGAAATATAATATGAAATTATTATTTATAGGAAATGCATTAGTTATTTATTTACGTAAAATTAATACATAACATTTTAAAAAGAAGGCACTAACAGTGTGTCAGTTCCGCCTCCGGTCCAGCAGGTGGCGGTAAAACTGAATTACACCATTTAGTCGCCGCCTGTAGATAAAAGGGTGAGGAGCTCTGTGTTCCGTCATTTGAGCCTGCAGTCGAGGTGGAGGGTGTCGGTCAGCGTCTGGGTAAATATGCGTTTAATCTTTATTTTATTTAACAAATGTAACGTTGTATTTATTAATTACTTTGTGTTGAGATGTAACGTGCCGATATTTACCAGCGACGAGGCGTTTATTTCACGGATGGCGGCAGATTGTGCGGGAGTCGTTGTAAACTTGTCACGTGGTTTTCTCGTAACATCACGTCTGTAGAGTTTATAAAGAGTTAATTACAGTTCAGTTAGAGTTACACCGCTGCGTTAGTCATACATACAAGTGATATATAAACTAAAACCATGTGGTGGCATGAAGAGGGTCTAAAATGTGACTGAAGATGTAATAATTTTAAGTTTTATCAATAGGCATGTCAATAATAGCTCAATTGTTTTATAATTTTTACAATTTTATTACTATGTTTTTTTAAACACGCCCTTTATTTAAAACAATAAGCAAGGAGCATCCAGAAGTTTCCATCAGCTGAACACGTGGTGGGGGTGTTGTGCAAATTATAATCAGGGAAATGGACCTTTGGTATCAGATATGGTGAAACAGCATTAAGCTCAGTTATTTTAGGTATACTTGTTTTACTTAATTTATAAATACAGATTAGGCATAATTTTTTTTTCTATGATTTAGTAGCTCCTATGACAATTTAGTAGGTGTGTGCAGACCATGTATTTTCTTTTAAAGAGAATGGGTTACTTACTAAAAATGCATGAAAAATAAAATGATTTTTAAAAATCCCCCGAACTACAAAAAGTGCAAAAGTATGGATTTAGAGCAAACCTGTGTTAAAGGAAACTGTTTAAACATTAACTAGATGCAGGCTTTTTTTTCTAAGGTTTTGACTCATTTACATGATATAATAAAGTAATGTCTGCCGCAATCAGATTTGAAATCAGTTACTTATTTAAGACTAATAAGAATGAAATGTAGTTTTTATAGCAAAGTTACAAATTGTCGGTGTCAGTAAAATGCCCACTTGAATAAAATCAAATAAGAACTCTTTAAAAAAAAGATGCATGGTATGCACACACCTACTAAATTGTCATAGGAGCTACTAAATCATAGAAAACATTTTATGCCTAATCTGTATTTATAAATGAAGTAAAACAAGATCGTAAAGGCTAAAGGTGTCAAGATTTTGGCCTTTTTGTAGATGCACAGATCTGTAGGCAGACTAGTGTAAAAGCTAATGTGGAGTAATTGTACTGATTTAACTCTCTTGAGATCCAGTTACTCTGGTCACTGTGGCCTTGAACTATTAACTGAATGGTGTTTTCTTCTTTCAGTTTAATGTTGATGCTTCAACAGCGTTCTTTTTGACGAGGATGACGCACACTCCAGTTTGTCTCCAGCACAGTCGAGGTAAGTTTTCCTTTGTGCTTTTTGTTATGCATATGAAGCGTCTTCCTGCGCTGTGATGATGTTTTTCCTGCCATTCGTAGTTTCCACCAGAGGTTTAAACACCAAAGATGGTTCAAATCTTCCTTGGATGTCTGAGCGTTACTAGCTGTTCCTAATTAGCAGCTACTGCTAACATGCTGGCTTTCTAATGCAGCAACTGTCTCCACAGGTTCCCATCAGCCACGGAGAATGAGCTTAACGGGGACAGCACTGTGCAGAAGGTGCTCTGGTGCATCAGGATGCGAGATGGGGTGAATTCCTCAAGAACTAAAATCTGCAGGTGAGTTTATCAGTTAAGTTACCCACTGATGCATTAACTAAAACTTGTACAGTGTAAGAAAATACTTGCAGACCAGTTATATCTGTGCCTGGTCTCTAGCCCACTCATCATGGGCATAGTGATTTTCAGCTTTTAAGGATTTCTTTGAACTGCTTTTTCCAGGGTACAGACTGTACAGTGTACGTCTTTAATTTCTAGACATACAAATTGAGAACGCAAATTTTAATTACTTTATATTTTCTCTGAAATACAGAGAAAATCTAAATCTTTTTTTTCCCCTGGAAAAGTGTCTTAAATCTGTAAACCTTCAGTCGCTATGATGATGATTTTTCCTGCCATTCGTAGTTTCCACCAGAGGTTTAAACACCAAAGATGGTTCAAGTCTTCCTTGGATGTCTGAGCGACTGAAGGAATTTTTTATTTATATATATTGTTTTAAATCAGATTGTCACTTCTTGCTCCTAACTATTCATATTTTCTGTTTCTGCCAGTCGTTGCAGAGAATGGCCTTCAGTAAAAGTCATGAAGCTGCAGCTGTGTTAGCATGCTGGGTTCAGGGAGTTCTGGACAGAGAGGAGCAGATGTGGATCAGCATCACTGCACCTGATTCTTGGTAAGTTATTAAAGGTCATTTGATCGCGGTACAGCTGCTCTGAGGAGTTTACAGTTCGCTGTGATGACGCTTTTTCCTGCCATTCGTAGTTTCCACCAGAGGTTTAAACACCGAAGATGGTTCAAGTCTTCCTTGGATGTCTGAGCGAACACTTTGAAGTTTAACTCTTGTTATTGACACGTCTTCTTTCAGAGCTGACTCTGCCTCAATCTCTGTTTCAGGATGAACGTCTTCAGTTATGCCCACCAGCTGTAAACCTGTTGCGTCACCAAAGTTGCTCCCAGTATGTATTTGTTAATATTTTGGACTTTTGAAATTGTTTCGCTGTGATGATGATTTTTCCTGCCATTCGTAGTTTCCACCAGAGGTTTAAACACCGAAGATGGTTCAAATCTTCCTTGGATGTCTGAGCGAACATTTAATTCCTGTTGTATCTTGTGTCTTTCTGCCTTATGTACTGACCTAAACTCGATCTCACTTTCAGGCTGAATGGATGTTTCTGCAGACTCTCCAGCACCAGTGTTGGTGGTCAGAGTTCCTAAAACTGGTGCGTATTCCAAGCTGTTCTTGACTATGATGGAGATGTATGACACTGTAGTTACAAAAACAGATATTGGATCCCTTTTTTTTAATTTTATTTTTTTAAATTATCACCATTTGAACATTTAAAAAAAATTGGGTCACATTACTTGTATATTTGCAAGTTTGTACTCTGCTTTAAAGTCCTGGGATGTTGTAGATTCAAATTCAAATTTTTTATTTGTCACATACAGTCATACACAGTACGATATGCAGTGAAATGCTTGGACAACTGCTCGTGACCTAAAGAAAAAAAGAAAAGGCTATGAATAAGATAGGAAATAAATAAATATGAAAATAAAAAAAGGGTAAATTTAACCAGGAAGGAATAAAATAAAATATAAAAATTAAAGTTAAAAATGAAACAACTGTACAACACAAATTAGAATGAAGGGTAAATTTAACTGGGAAAGAATAAGATAAAATATATAAATTAAAGTTGAAAATAAGATAACTGTACAACAAAATACACAGTATAGACATATCTAAGAATGTATGAGAAATATAAATATATATACACACAATAACAGCAGCTGTACAAATATTAACTGGAAATGAGGAATATAATGTCCAGATGTGTCCCCTTTAACTTTGACTGTAGCCATTTAACTCTTAATTGAGTTTCTCCCCCCAAAAAAGTACATGTGAAAGCAGTCACGTATAGATTTTTTTTGTTTGTTTCTCCCTTAAATGCCCGTGAAGCTACAGTCTTCATTAAAACGTGGAAGGTTCGCTGTGATGATGTTTTTCCTGCCATTCGTAGTTTCCACCAGAGGTTTAAACACCGAAGATGGTTCAAGTCTTCCTTGGATGTCTGAGCGAACATTAGAGGATTGTAGCTCTACTTTTGAATGTCTTTGTTCTAAGAACTAAATTGTATTCTCCCTTTCAGGGAGATAATTGCCGCGGATACGAGGCTACTCTGTGGATTCTCCAGGCTGTTAAAGCTGGTATGTACGGTTACTTGTTGAAGTCTTACGTCTTTGAAGAGTTTATCGCTGTGATGATGATTTTTCCTGCCATTCGTAGTTTCCACCAGAGGTTTAAACACCAAAGATGGTTCAAATCTTCCTTGGATGTCTGAGCGAACATTAGATTGCAGCTTTGCTTGTGAACTCTTCTTTTCCAGATCTAACTTTATCTCAATTTATCTCACTTTCAGGCCGGACGTCAACATTGATGGACCTGCAATCAAACATGAGTCAGCTGTGTAGGGTTTTTTTTTTGTTTGTTTTGTAGGTTGAAGTTTGAAAGATGGCTGTCATCTAATCTTAAAAATAAAATGAATCTTAAACAGAAAACAAGCTAGCAGTTTTGTGACTGTAAATGAGATGTTCTTAGTTTTGAAATAACTGATTTTTGCTTTCCATACATGCTGGCAAAGACAGCCTATGTGTTTAGTTTTTTGTATTTTTACTTGTACATAATTTTTAAAGTAATAAAGATCCAATAGGTGTGGAAAAATTTTGTTTTGGTTTTTAATCTGTCTTCTCTTGCTGAAATTGTCATTCAAACACGGGGTTTAACCAATAAGGGGTTTTAGACTGTACACTGTTGCTTCTCGTTGGGCTGCATTGCTTGGGCAAATGCTTAAATATTTGATAGATTTTAACTGGTGAAAACTATTCAACATCTAACTTGAAGAAGAATCCCGGAGAACATAAATTGCATCATGTAAATTTTAACACTACAGAATAACATTTGTAAAATGTTTTCAGACATTAAAAAGCTGTATTAATTCACAATACTGTGAAAACCCAGTGTGTCTAGGACTATTTTGGGAATAAATCAGGCTATACATGAAATGTTGAGTTGGCGGAGAAGTTCTTCGTATTAACAAGTAGGTAAATGGGTGTACCTGATTTTCTACTTGGTAAAACAGTTACATATTTCTAAGCAACTGACTTTTACACTGTTATGCAGTACCACATTTTTATATAATGCTAATGGGTTATTATTAATTACTATTATTAAAAGCTTGTATTTTTTAATGACAGTTTTGCTTTATTTACTTTACTTTTGTTATGGATACAAAATTGAACACCACTCGGGGTACTTGAAGCATAAACCAACCGTGTGGAGCCTTGTCTTACTCAAAGATGTTACCTTGGGAACAAACAATTTAACAAAATATGTCCTGATACATGCAGGCAAATAAGTGACAGAAAAAAATTCTCACAATTTAGTAACTTCACCCACTCTGGAAACTAACTCAAGCTAAACTGAATTGGAAAAGTGTTAAATAATATCTGATTTAAAAATGAAACTATAATAGGTTTGTTCATAGCTGACAAGGAGGGGTCGCTCTGAATCGCGTTTAATTTTGGCACCCTTGGCCTTCCTTACTCGGTCAGTAGGGACCGGGCTAAGCTAGCTGCTGGTTGCCGGATAGCTTGCACCAGAAGCGCACAGAAAGCAAGACGATGGCGGGTGTACATCCCCAGGTGAGTGAACTAAACTCTTCAGTCTAGCTGTTTATAAACTTTAACGACCGTTACTGTCCGTGGCAAGTGAAGAAAACAGCGGCTAACTGAGGCTAATTAGCTCCGTAGTTCAGGTGAGCTGTGAATACTGTGGCTTTGACGTGGCACAACAGAGGCATGTTTAAGGAAACGCCTTTCTTATTACAGAAACATTAGGTCTTATGTTGTTATGGTAGAGGCAGGAAACACAGTTCATCAAATAGCTTGTCTCTCAGTTTAGGAAGTTGTGTTAACCTACATTAG